CACAGGCCTCTCCATCCTCCATGAGTATGAGCTTACACGGCCATTCATCTCCGGGTGGTTATGTGCACCATCACTGACAACTCCCTCTGCATCTCATACACACTGGGCTGCTCCCCTACTAAAATCTTCCAAAGCCACGTGTTATACATTCCTTTTCTCTGCCATGCTCCCCAGCTGTTTTGTGCTGTTTTGATCTGTGTGTTCGCATAGCACTGTCAGACTCTATGCATGAAAGGTGTGTTGTCGATACGAATGGTTTTGAAAATGTCTCTGTAAAGAGCCTACCTCGTCAGTTATCAGCAAGGAAAAGGAAGCTTGAAGCCCCGAAGGTGGAGGCCAGGGACTCCCACTTGACTCTTTGCAGGAGGAGGACTTGTGCACATTGACAAAGAAAAGAAGCCCGTTAAAATGTGACCATGATCTCTCTCCTTAAAAAATAAATAATAATAGTTAGTGATGACATAGAAAAGGTGGGATCCTACCATAGAACAAAAGAATTAAAAGTAGGAATGTACGTTAAAAAAAGAGATGCATCCAAGCAGAACTCAGGGTAGATACAATTGTTGGCTTGTTCTTGGTCACCAAGTGTTAGTATAGCAAGACACCCAAGCAGAATTGGGCACATTGGAGAAGGGCACTGGGCTGTCCCACTCACAGCTTTCTGGAGGACTGGGTGGCATCTGTTGTCCATCATACTGCACATCAGGTTGACCTGATCTGATGCTCCTATATAGAGGATAAGTTCAGAATTACACTTTCGCTTAACCAAATAAGAAAACCCAAGGCTCACAGCTCCTCAGCTGGACAATAGAATCCAAGTAGATGGGACTAGGAAAGGGAAGATAAACTAAGAAGACAGAGAGCGTTTTTGTGCTAGGAAAGAACTTAGCAAACATTCCTAACAATAAAAGTTTGATGCCGATGATCTAAACTTTTTCAACTGCTTCGTCAAAGTATGAATTTGGTATTTCACATTGGAGAAACATTTTTGCTTCTCCGATCTTTTCCCACCAACTTTGCTATATTTGACTGCAGACATTGTAAAGACAGGTTTTGAGAACATGTGTGGTATTTGCTGTTCAAATTTTAGCTTGGGCCAAGATATGTGGGTAAGATGCACTTTTTTCAGATTTTTTTTTCTTTAATCCTCGGACAAAGATTGGTCCCGGCATTGCAAGCATACCTTATGGATTCCAAATATCTTTGCCAATCTTTCACATGCTATCTTTGGCCAGTGTTCCCCTTGAAAGATAACTAGAAAATATGCTTTTTTGTTTGTTTAATATCTGAAGTAAAACTGATGCAGCTGAGGTTGGCTTTATCAGCTCAAGCATTTGGGGATGACTTGGTCTCTCTGATCCACTCCCACTCCCCTGTGAAACTGGAGATTCCCAATTGTTTCAACACATCAATTTACTTTGAATTTTTTTTTTTACTTAACTAACCAAAACATTATTTCATGGACATCATTTGATGTGTTAGTACCCAAGTGAAAATTTTGTATTGATATTTTCCACTTGGGAAGAAGAAATCATATTTTTCCCTGAAAAAGTAAATATTCCATAGGCAAGCAACTAAAACCAGACACCCTTATGTCCTTAGTAATTCCAGTTTTCTCTAATGAAGCTGTTTAGTCCAGTCAAAAAATTATTTTAATAAGAATAAATAAAATGAACATTCCAAACTTCTTCCTAGCCCTTCTCAGCATTCAAGTTCTGGGGTTTAGACTCTTGTCTATCCTATGCTTTACTTCCGCATTCTCAAATTCTTATGCTTTCTATCCAAATAGCCTTAAGATTCCATTTAAATCCTATTGGATTCTTTTTACAGCTGAAATAGGATGCCTGAGGTCATTTCTAGACTAACCCTACTGCCTAATATGTGAGAATGTCCTCATCACACTCCTCACTCCCAATTATTTTTAAACCCAATTATTTTTAAACTCAATTATTTTAAACTACAAAGTTTAAAAAAAAAAAACTAACAGAACCATAGAAGTAGAAATGCTATAACTTGCCTTTTTCTTATCTTTCATAGGAATGGCATTTTTAAACACGAGCTTATGTCAGACATTGAACAGTCTCCACATGAGAAGGAATGTTTTGATTAAAAATAATTTAATATCTCGAGTTCCTTGGAATTCTGCCTAAAACTGGAGATATTCTTATCTGCAGGTCTTGTGCCTTCTTTGACTAGGTGGAAAAAAAAAATGCTCAAAATTTAAAGCAAATAAATGGTATTCCCAGAATAATTACTTGATTGTATACATGTATTTTATCACAGAGAATACTGATGTATTGAGAATTAGGAATTAGAAAAGAATATTGGTAAGGAGAAATGTGTCCAAGCAGCATCTTCCTATAGCTGTACCATTGCATCCATTAATTCTCAGCCTTTTGGTTAAAATCCGGTGTAGGGTACTATTAATACATTCATATGGCAGACCTTAAGAATAGAATTCTGTATTATCTGTATATAACGTTTTCTTAACTTGCATTTGTATCTAAGTCCACAAGGGTTAAACAAATGAAATTTAGGCAGATTGGTACTTGTTTAAATGTCTTTTGATCAAAAAATATGATCTTATTTTTTAACTGCTTTCAATGTAACATAATGGAGACAGATTCTCATAGCAAATAAATGTGAACACAAAAGGGAAAAGAAGAACTTTATTCCAGGATACAAATAGAATTTTGATTCAGTAAGTTATTTTATCTTTAGAGGTAGTGTTGCTCTCAGTACAGCCTCTTTTCTTTAAATCGCTATTTCGAGGCAAAATATTTACAGAACATTGAATTATTTTTCTAGCTTTCCAATGGCATTCCATGCATTTAGATATTGACGTGACATAGTTAGAAGTTGGGCCCTGCGGACCTGTTCTGTGTGATGGCATTGTGCTGCTATCATCACAAGATTCCATTTTTTCCAACCCCCAAGGTCCTGTCTGTACTTGTTTACAGGTCATCTGGATAGTAACTAGTATGTGTTCAATGGCATGAGTGTTATAACGGTAACCTTGGCAACCAGGCTAGCTCTGATTTCAAAACCTCACATGCTGTATCATAAAATTAGAGAACAGAATTGACATTTAGCTACATGTCTGTCATATAAATTAAGCTCTGAGAATGATTTTCTTTAGAGCCATGTGCCTTAATATGGAAATGGAAGGCACCAATTAGAACAATTATATATATATATATATATATATATATATATACTTACTATAACACATTTTGGTGCTGTATATATTTCCTAAATTCTTTCTGTATGATATTGAACCTCAGATATTGTCATGCTATTCTCACTGTGCCAAAATTCATGGTGGCTTTATTTTATGATCAGGACGAAGCTTATAGCAGAGCTTCATCAGATACCCGATATAAATAGGATTATGAATAATAGAAAACTCAGCCTGTAAAAAATGTAAGATTCAAAGCATTCCTGGCTTTACTGAATACTGTTATTTATGCTGATTGGAAGTAAGACTGAGCACAGAATATTCCACTAACTAAATCAGAATCCCAAAGGCAAGACATGCTTCCCTTTCATTTATATATTTATACATATTTTCACTCATATTATTCCAGCATCCAGGAATCTTTGATAATATCTTTATTTCAAGGAGATGCTAAACATTCAGATTAATACATTCATCTACTTTGAGTCCTAGGTCCTCTTTTATAATTTGGAAATATTTTAATCTCAGGATTTTTCCCTCTATTTGTTGTGGTCTGCTGCAGATTTTCTTGGATATAAATTTAAAGACTCAACTTGTGAATTACATTTAATGTAAGCACCCTGCAGTTTTCTGCATTGCAAATGATTATTTTTAGAAATTTTATGGTTGCCTGCATATATTTGTTTTGTCTTCATTGATATGTAGGGGGAAACTCTCATTAATGATTTAAAAAGAAGGTGTTTTGATTCATCGACTTGATTCTTCTCATTACATAAACAATCAAGGCAATAAATTAACATGTAATAAAATTGTAAGAGTTTATTTCTGAATTTAGCCTCGAGATGGTTTTGAATACTATGGCATAAATTTTCCTATTCTTTATATCCTTCTGCCTCAATGTTTTAAAAGTTATCATTCAGCATATTTTAACCTAGAACAATGATTTATAATTTCTATTAAAGATACCTTTTAGCAGCTATCCATCAAACACCATAATTGAACAACTGTTTTGTAAAACAGTTCTTTGACTTCTAGAATGGTAAGTTATTATGTAAAAATAGAAGACCCTTATGTCAAAATTGACTATAAAGCAATTTTTCTTTTCCCCATATACCTGCTGTGTCTCATATAACATTTGAGAAACCTGCTTCCAATATTTTCTCATTTTATTAGCCATCAATCTAGTTCTTGCCTAGTTACATGTTAAATACTACCTTCTTGCCTTACCTAGTAAAGAGTGAAAATTGCTGCAAATTCAGGATTTTTCTTTTCGGAAACAGATAAGTGGTTGTGCTCTCTACATGTGTGCATAAGTGGGAAGAAGGGCGGAAATCCTTCTGTGTATTTGCTGACCCTGTACAGCAAATACTTGTTACATTTTCAGTAATGTTTAAACTGTTTGCTTTATCTCATTGGGATGAGTCATCGTCACCTTTATGTTGTTTAAACCGGTGAAAGGTAGTCTTTATTATTTTCTTTTATCTTGAAACTATTTCTTGTGATGAACAGAAATAGTTCAGCATGTTGTGGTTCCAGGACAGAGTCGAGTTTGGGTAACCATCTCTACTGTAAGATAACTTCATCGGAAACTTTCCAATGCATAAGCATTCTGCAGTGCGATATGGAAATGAACTGTTGGTGCTGGAATGTGGGGGCTTATCAGGCTGTTTGCATGAGTCCAAGATGTGTTTTAATCTCGGGGGGCGGGGGGTGGTTAATGGTGACATGATATGGTATTAGATGGGTAGGAGTGGGGAGGAACCATCATGGTAGGGAAAAAAGTGAAAAGGGAATACAAGCTTCTTTTGTGATTTCCTTTTAGGTCCGATGTTGTGGTCCTCTGTTTTTCAATCGCTAATCCCAATTCCCTAAATCATGTGAAAACCATGTGGTATCAAGAAATCAAGCACTTTTGCCCTCGAACACCTGTTGTACTCGTTGGCTGCCAGCTTGATCTCCGCTATGCCGATCTGGAAGCTGTTAATCGAGCCAGGCGCCCGTTAGCAAGGTAAGCCAAAGGTCTCGGTGTTTCCCTGCGCTGGCCAAATGAAAATTTAGAGGTAGCAGGTGTCTCTAGCCTAGCGCTCTGCTCTTCAGTGGTTCTGGGAGCCCATCTATCAGCCAAGGGCCTTAACTCAGCCCGTGGATCCTAAGGGGACGTGCCCTGACCCCTTCTCACACACCCCATCATCTCTGACGTCACCTCATTTTTGCGTAAACAATGAGCCAGCACTTGAAGTAAATTCATCTAATTATGAAATGATGTATGTAAAAGCGCGTTGAAATTTGTGAAGTGTTAAACAAAATGTTGACTGCCCACACCCTGAATAATGTTACTCTTGAAATTATGATTATTATAATAAAGTTAATTAACACTCGGAGGGCTCTTGGCCCCAGGGAACATCTTATTCAGGAAATCATTCATATCCAAGTGTTTTTAATCTTCCTCACATTCCTCCGTCCAAACTGCGGGAGTGTTTCATTCCCAAGATGACCTTGTCCACTTTTTAAAAATCACCTGGACCTGTAGTTGCAAAACAAACAAACACTGCTTTTGAAATGTCTCTAGTGGTTATATTTCTAAAGAGTGACAAAGTTAAAATACAACTTGAAGAAGAATTTGTTTCACTATACATAAAATGTGGATACCACTTTGGGGGAAAAGAAGAGTTTTTAAAGAAGTGTGCTTCCTCAATTTCCTTTATAAAAAACAATTTTGCATGTTTTTTTATGTTGACATTTTTTGTTGGCGAGCATAGCTGTTCAAAAAAAAATTGCCATTAATACCGTCTTTTGATGTTTGCCTAATAGGCTTATTGCAAAATTGTATATAAATACAACTTTTTACACTCTCACAACAAAAGCAAATGGTATTTTCTTTAGATAATTTTCTGAAGTTCTAGGTACGTTTTGCATAAAATTTCTAAAAGCATTTTATGTTCAGTTTTCACAGTCCTTCTACTCTTATATGCATGGACTAGGAATTGAATGTTAGGAGCCACATAGAGGGAAAGAAAACTCTCAGTGAATGAGAGACTGTCCTGGCCCTAGAAACCTTCTGTATAAAAGAATAGGTTAAGATGATCAGGCCTCACAAGTGTGGGAGCAGGAAGGACTGGAGGAGGGTTACAAAGTAGTAGAGGACAACAGAAGGGACAGTCCCTTCTGTAGAGCAATTCTGAGAAGATTTTATGAAGGAGTTAGTGTTTGAGCAAAGCCTTGAAGAGTTTCATCAGTTGGTGAATTCTGCGTCAGTCCTGGGAAAAAGGAACACTATGCCCACAGGAGGAACCAGAAGTTAAACGTTCTTCACTGCATTTCCCCTCCACCTTTGCCAACACCCTGTAATTTTTCCTCTTTTCCATCCAAGTCTTCAGATCCAAATTCTATCCTGTATCTTCTTTTTTCTTCTAACACCAGGGCCTGTTATACAACATTACCTTTGGTGTTGAAGGCAAAATATTTACTTAAGATCAATTACTGAGAGTATGTTTCAGGATCTAGTATGTGCTTATGAAGAGCGTAATGACCAATCACATCCCACCCATGTTCTGGAATCCACCCCTTCATTTACCATGGCTATGCCATAACCATAGCACTATACTGCTGAAGCTGTTTCTGAAGATTTGAACTCCCTGGCTTCAACGAGACTGCAAATGGGCCTCGTGTGCCAGCCTAGAGTGTGGTCTTTATTCCATGGGCGTTGTGGGATCAGAGGAAATTAAAACAGAACTGCCACCAAGCCATACCTGTGTTATGTAGGGACTTTTCTTGCTGCAATGAGGACTGTGGGCTAAAATGTGGTGAGTGTGACAAAAGACCCGTTAAGGGGCCAATGCACCAGACCAAGCAAAAGATGATGAGGTCCTGATGAAGGCAGGGGAAGAAACGAGAAGGGGAAAACTGAAAGGATATTCACGAATCCAACAGAAGATACTTAATGAGCTGTAGGATGTGGATTGTGTAACTAGGAGTGGGAAAGTCTCCACTCTAACTGCTTAGTAGAGTTCTCTCAACAACTTGCAAATGTGACCTCAGACAAACCCTTTAAATTTTCTGCCTTGGTTTCCTCAAAATCTACAACAAAAATAATACCTCATAAAGTTATTGTGAGGCTCAAATGAAAAATGCATATGAGTTCATTTTAAAGTTATAAAGCAAAATTTAAGCATAAAGTAATGATGTTGATAACGAAGTTGAAGATGACGATGATGATGGTAGTGATAAGGACGATAACAGCTGACATTTATCAAGCACTTACTGTGGCCCAAGTACTATGCTCAACATATTATCTCATTTAGATCTTTCAATAGTACTTTAAAGTTATAGGCACTCATTATTGCTGTTGTAGAAATGGGGAAAGCAAGGCTTAATAAGGTTAAGTAACTTGTCTAAGATCAAATAGCTAGTAAAGAGCTAATACTATGACTACTACTGACAGCATTTTTTTCTAAGAAGTAGAACTGTCCCTATTTACAGATGACATGGTCATATATCAATGAAAAGTCCTAAGGAATCTACAGAAAAGCAATCAAAACTATTTAGCAAAACCACAAGATAAAAGGTCAATACACAAAAATAAACTGTATTTTTATACACTAGGAAATGAACAAATGGAAAATAAAATTTAAAAAAACAACACCATTTATAATAACATAAAAACATGAATAGTTATGACTGCTTCACAAATTGTGTATAAAATCTGTGCACTGAAACTATGAAATATTTGAAAGCATTTCTTTCCTGCAACCGTAATTCCTTTACGTTTGAAAGCCTTGAGGGTTGTGGTAGATTTTTCAAGAGGCTTAGTAAAAGCCTGAAAAGGATTTTAAATGTATAATTCGATTAGGTGCTTAGGCCCTGGTTACTATTTTTTTCCTAAATTAAGGCTGATTATAATTTTTAAAATATTCTCTTTCAGGCCCATCAAGAGAGGGGATATTTTGCCCCCAGAGAAAGGCCGAGAGGTTGCAAAGGAACTCGGCATACCTTACTATGAAACAAGCGTGTTCGACCAGTTCGGAATCAAGGATGTGTTTGACAATGCGATCCGAGCAGCGCTGATCTCCCGCCGCCACCTGCAGTTCTGGAAATCCCACTTAAAGAAAGTCCAGAAACCTTTACTTCAGGCACCCTTCCTACCTCCAAAAGCCCCTCCACCGGTCATCAAAATTCCAGCGTGTCCCTCCACGGGGACGAATGAAGCTGCCTGTTTACTGGACAATCCTCTGTGTGCCGACGTCCTGTTCATCCTTCAGGACCAGGAACCCATCTTTGCACATCGAATTTACCTCGCTACCTCTTCTTCCAAATTTTATGATCTGTTTCTAATGGAATGTGAGGAATCCCCGAGTTGGGGTGAAGGAGCTTGTGAGAAAGAGAAGCAGAGTAGGGATTTGCAGGGGCGGACATTGAGTGTTAACCTGGACGAGGAAAGGGAGGAGGGCCCCCCTGCGACCCCCCAGGCTGAGCAGTGGAAGTCCTCAAGCGGGAGCCTGTTGGAGACTCCGGGTCTGGAAGCCGAGGGCTCGGGTCCCGAGACGACGCAGACTTTGTCCGGCTGGAGTAAGGGTTTCATTGGCATGCACAGGGAAATGCAAGTCAATCCCATTTCAAAGCGGGTGGGCCTGGTGACTGTGGTCAGGATGGACTCCTCAGTCCAGCCAGGCCCTTTCCGAACCCTGCTCCGGTTTCTTTATACGGGGCAACTGGATGAAAAGGAAAAGGATTTGGTGGGCCTGGCTCAGATCGCAGAGGTCCTAGAGATGTTTGATTTGAGGATGATGGTGGAAAACATCATGAACAAGGAAGCCTTCATGAACCAGGAGATTACGAAAGCCTTTCACGTCAGGAAAGCCAATCGGATAAAGGAGTGTCTCAGCAAGGGGACGTTCTCAGGTGAGCGGGGTGTGCGGCAGAGCCATCGATACCTTTGCTTGTGTTTTATGAAACATGAGCCAGACGCACCAGGGGAAAGGATAACCTTAGCTCACATTATGAGTGCTTTTTTTTTTCTTCCTATGCAACTTTCTAAACTACAGGTATCAACTTATTTAATTTTCATCAGATTTAAGGGTTAAATATTATTATCTCCATTTTCCAGATGGGAAAACCAAGCAACAGAGAGGTTAGATAACTTGCTGTTGGTCATACAGATAATAAGTGGTAATGCCAGGATTTGAACCCAAGCTTTTGTGGCTCCCAAAACCTGTTCCCTAAACCACCATGGTACCATACTGCTTCTCAAGAACAGATCAGGTACCCCTGGGCCTATCTCCAGTGGGCTTGTTGCTTACAGTTCCTCTGCAGGATCCATTCCCTGAACAATTCTCTAATCCATCAGCCCTTCAGCACTTGCCCATGACAAAAATTAGTGACCCCAGGTCCTAAGGCCACTGAAGTCCTCGAGGCAATTTTGGTGGCTCTCTGCATTCCCACAAGGGGTGTCTCTTGTGTTTCCATCTCCTCTCCTTTTCTTTCCATGTGTTCCTTAGCCTTGCTCTTCTATGGTGTCCTTGTCCCTCCTTTGCCTTTGGTAACTGAACCATATGCTGCCTACACCACCCCTCCATAACAGCTTAGACACGCTGGTGGCCTGCACCCACTATGGATTCCTGACCCATGCTGATATTGTCTTACACACTTTACTATTTTTGCTCTGAAATTGTCCTGTGGATGGGTATGTGCGTGTGTGGGTGTGTGTAATTTCATTGTAAGTTGACTTCCTGACTTCTATTTTTTTTTTTTGTCTTTACCTTTTATAATCTCTGCCATGGCACTACACATTTAATAAGTGGCTGCTGAATCTGTTCATTAATTTTAAAGCTTATGAGTAATATTTACTCCAAACACTGGCCATCGTGGTATAGAAACTATCTTGAAAGTTAATGAAAAGAATATGTTACAAACCCATGGTAAATTAAACAGGGGACCTTAAATAAAGTTAATTAAATCACCCTCTCCTTGCTACAGAGACATAATAACCAAATACAAGGTGGGAGTCTCCATTGGGTTCTGTTAAAAAGAAAAATCTATGAAATGCAATTTAGAGATAATTGGAGAAATTTGAATATGAACTAGATAGTAGATGATAGTAGGGAATTATTTTTAATTTTCTTAGGTATAATCATGCTATGGTTATTTAGGTGAATGTTCTTATTTTTAGAAAATTTATGATAAAGTAGCAGTGAAAAAGATGTGAGGTGCCATGCTATCTGTCAAAAGAAAAAGTCTATACACATATCTAAAAATATATAAAAATACACATATAGCTAACGCAAACATAACAAAATGTTAACAATGGATAAATGAGTGATTGTTGTACTCTTCTTTCTGCTGCTGTGTATGCTTGAATTTTTTCATAATAAGGAGGAGAAAATACCCCTCTCCTTTCTGTTACTTTCTGGTTCAGAGAATTTGTGTAGTGACCTTATGTGTAATTATAAGTGCTTGCTCCTCAATGCGTGAGTTGGATGTGCCAAAGGTGAGGATTGACATAAAATCAGCAAGTGAAGACATGGAAGAGAGAATAAGAGATGCAGGTTGATGGACACGATGGAACAGAAGCCTTGGTGGAAGCTCTTGGTGAAACCGGCTCACAGTTCTGTTCCCTCGATCCTTTGACAGACGTGACATTTAAATTGGATGACGGAGCCATCGGTGCCCACAAGCCACTGCTGATCTGTAGCTGCGAGTGGATGGCCGCCATGTTCGGGGGGTCATTTGTGGAAAGCGCCAACAGTGAGGTATGTGCCTTCCTAAGTAAGAGCCTCGCCCTATCTTCGGGAGGGTGCAAATGCATGTGTAGTTATACACAGTGTTTAATGGACCGAATGAATTCAATTATTTTACTGCTTTCGTGAAATAGTTGCTTAGCAGTAGTGCTTGAGTGCTACGTCACCTTTTCCTTAAGTCTGCAATTATGGGGAGCCATTGTTTACTGGCCACTTGTGTGTGAGCGCCTAGGTGCATCACATATGCAGTATGTCCTTTCATCCTCACTGCTCTCCTTGTCTATGAAGGCATGATCAGCTACACTTGTTAACAAATGGCACCAGGCAACGTGTATCAAAGTCATGTACAAGAGGAACAGAGCCTCTATTCCAATAGTTCAGAAAAGTGAAGAGTTCTTCAGTCACTTAAGTCCTGGTCTCAGCTCTGCCCCTAACCATACAGGGGACCTCGAGAAGCCTCAGTCTCCTCATCTGTAAGATGAGGGGTACACTAGGTTGTCCTTGAGGTCACCGTGAACTACAACACTTTCTGAGGCTCTGCCCTGACCCCTCTGTCTGGGTTAGAGGATATAAGGGTTTGTTAACTTAGGGGAAACTAGTGGAGCGAACGGTTACTCCTCTGAACACGCTTCTCAACGTACTGAGGTCTAGTGGAAGCAGCTGAGTCACTTGGCAGCCACTGGCTCTGTCTCCAAAAGAGGGATATTCTTGGAGCAAAACAAACAGTATCTTGGAGACACTATGTCTTTATGTTTTTTTTCAGTTTTATTTTTAACTGATGAATAATAATTGTGTATATTTATGGGGTACAATGTGATGTTTTGATACATGTGTACATTGTGGAATGAACAGATCAGGCTAATGAGTCTATCCATCACCTCAAATATTTATCATTTCTTTATAGTGAGAACATCTAAAATCCTCTCTTTTAGCTATTTTGAAATATACATTAACTATAGTCACCATACTGTGAAAGAGATCTCCAGAACTTATTCGCCTTGTCTAACTGTAACTTTGCACCCATTGACCAACAGTTTCCCTTTCCCCACCCCCACAAACCACTATTCTGCTCTCTGCTTCTATGAGTTCAGTGATTTTAGATACCAGATATAAGCGAGATTAGGTGGTATTTGTCTCTCTGTACCTGGCTTATTTCACTCAACATAATGTTCTTTAGGTTCATCCATGTTTTCTTGAATGACAGAATTTCCTTTGTAGCGCTGCATAGTATTCCATTATGTGTAGGTACCATATTTTCTTAACTATCCATCCGTTGATGACACATAAGTTATTTCCGTATTTTCGCTGTTGTGAATAGTGCTGCCATGAATGTGGGGGTGCAGCCTATCTCTTTATCTTTTTACAAGCTCTGTTGGAAAAGGGGGAAAAAAATCCCATTCAGGCATTTCTAACTTTAGGAGTAAGCAAGCCCTTTTGTTGAGTTTTGCAAGTATTTTTTAACATCTTTTTTTTAAAAAACATGGGGACACCCCATCAAGTTTATTGTCCTAAGAGGCTTGTTTTGCTTATCTCAGCATCTCTCCAACCTTTTAAAAGAAATACAGAAAACAATAGCTAACTTTTCAAAAGGGGCACTCCCAGGAGAAATCTGAGCACTCCCATTGTGACCCAGGAGCCTACATTTACATCCTCAAGTAGGGAAACAGAATCCTAGAATCACAAGCCTGGGATGGCTGAGGCTGAAAAGGTCACTAGGCCACCCTCCTGCTTCCAGAACAAACTGCAGTTGGTCCTAAACCAACCCCCAGCAAAGGGCTCTCTGTTGTTTGGGGAAAAGACATTAGAATTGTCATGATGACCTCTTCTGTTGTTTACCAGCCTTTATAAACCAGAAAGTTCTCACTTATAACTCATCACAGTCTCTCCTGTGCAGTCAAAGGTATTTTGGAGCACTGTTACTAAGAAGACTGCAGCGGAAGGGAGGCCTCCCAGTTAAGTGGCTACGGGGCTTAAATCACAACTCCTCCACTTGCAAGCTCTGTGGCTTTGGGAAAGTGACTTAACCTTTCTGAGCTCCAGTCTTCTACCTGGAAAACACAATAATCCCCCATAGAGTTGTCGTGGGGTATAAGAGTCAGTACTTGCAAAGCCCCTGTATAAGCGTTAAATAAGTGGTAGCTGCTGCTGGGCGTGTTTTGATGGTTGTTGGTGGTGATGGTATTCTTCCCCTCTTACTTCCACAAAAAAATTGCAGTGTGCAATGATTTGCAAAACCTCATCCAACTGGAGTTGTACCGACTTCGGTCATCTCCAGAGACAGAGAGCTGGCGGCTTGCTCCCCTCGTTCGCCCAGCTCTCGCTCGGCAGCGCATGCTGACCGTGCGGCAGAGGACCTGCTATTAAGCGAGCAGGGGGAAGTTGATCGAGGTCAGGAGCCCAGGCACAAAGGGACACTGTCAGAGCTGACCTCACGGATGCTAATCCTCTTTATCCCTTCCCAGAATGGACTGTAATCGTCTCCAGATTAAAATGTGCAGTAGAGGTGACCAAAACAAAAACTTGGCAGCAAATGTGAGTGCACATGTATATGATTGTTTAATAGCCTCTCCTGGAGGCAGCCGCCTGGTTAGCACACCCTGCTGGAGAGACTGGGTCACTCAGCACTTAGGACGGTAGCTGAGGCTGTTAGGTACGTGTACATTCACACCAGCTCAACAGACGGAGACCAAGCAACCAAGCAACCGAAGGTCTCTGCCAAAATTCCTTCAGCTGGTATATTAATGCCACGAGCTGCTGACATTTCTGCCCTTTTCTGTTCCTTCTCTTTACTTCCCGTGTAGGCTACAATATAGCAGTCATGAACTCTGGTCAAGTCTGAGCTTGACCTTGGGCAAGTGACTGACCCTCACTGTAAAATCTATAGATTGGGGATAAGAAGAGAACCTTCTTGAAAAGAGCAGAGTAGGCATGCGATTACATGTGTGAAGCATTGCATTTGGTGCCAGGAACATACAAATGCTCAATAAATGTTAGTGACTATTATTCTAGAGTATTCTTATTAAATTCTTTCCATGCAGGATTAAAGGTCTCTTTCCCCTGAAAGCCCTAAGTTAAATAGCTCCCATTTCCCTTTCTCAATTAGGAAACTATGATACAGGTAGTTATAGGTGTAGGGACGAGGTGCTCAGTTAAATGCTCCGTGATTGCCTTAGGTCCATGTTCACACTTGGGATTTGGCCTTTCAATGCCACCATTTAATTATCTCAGGAAAAATCTGAAAACTTGACTCCCCCACGAAATTCATCCTTTTCTGTGTGTGTATATCTAGAAAAGACTAAAATATGCCCATGTTCATTGATTTTACTTTAACTTCTTTGTCATTTAATATTCAAGAAGATACTGTATTTTCCTTATATTTTTTCTCATTACTTTTAATGTAGCAGTAAGCATAATTCTCTCCCCAGAGGTACTCAGCAAGTGATTCATTAAAAATGCATGCCCGGGTTATAGTAAGCAATGCTTTGGTCTGGAATACTTTCTCATTCTCTGTAAGACTATCTCTAATTATAAGCCTAATAGTCTGAGCTAATCTTTGCAATTAAAATTTTAAACCAACTAAACCGGAATATAGGACATTGTTTAGGGTAGCATTATTTTCTCTTTCGTTACTTTTTTAAAAGCTATATCCAGCAGGTAGGATGCAAAATTTTTTATTCCGTTTCTTATGTAGCTTTATTTATTTTTTAAAGTGCTATAAAAGGGTCTATCCGTTGCTATAGAATTAATTCTAATTGTTGAAATCACAGAAACAGACTTTTTAAAACAAAATCAGCCGTGATGAAAAAATATTCATATTCTGAAAGTGTTTTTAGTTTGTTCTTATTTGACAGTTATTTTTAATGTTATTTGCCAAAAAGAGCCATCACTTCAAAAAATGTTAAGCAAAAAGCAAACAGCAGATCACAGGTGATTACAAACGTCAGAACACTTCGAGGACATTGGCAGTATTGGGGCTGGGCTGTGCACTGTCATCTGCTGCTCCCAGAAATAACTTTTTATCTAGGATGTCCATTTTGCTATTTGTATTTCTAGCGGGCATTTTTTTTCTTAAAGCAATGACTTAGAATACATTCTTGCCAAAAAATACTAAGGTAATCTGAAGATCTTCAAAACCCAGAGTCTCTGTGAAGAAGAAAAAACTTCAGATAGTACCTATTCCAAATTCCTCCCATATAACAGATGAGAGAAATGAGGATCAGAGAGGGTGAGTGATTTATCGAAGGTCACACAGCAGTCCTAGTCCCCCGTGGTATTGTTTTCAGAAGCAGCAGACATCCCATCTCTGAGAGTGTAGATGTTCACAGGAAGCTCTGGGATTTCTTATACTAACAATTACTTACACTTGATAGCATTTACCACTTTGTAAAATGTGGGTACTTTCACTATCAAAATGGTTCAAATTGTAAAGTTTCTCCACTTAATTAACCTTTAATTATCTAGAAAATTATACTAATCCAAACATCATTCTGAAGCAATGAAATTTTACCATGTGTTCATATACACAGAAACGAGTTTGTGTATTTGTAAATAAATTCATTGTCTGTCTAAGATAAATGCAAGTAAACATAAACATATACACATGTAAGCACACACACAAGTATAACCGGTGTTAGAATTGCTAGAGTAGAAATTAATTATTCATATGTTGATACAGCTGGCTGAAAGGAGGAATAACATTCTAACATCTGAATATTGCAGATGACCCAGGGCATACAACAGCTTCTTTATTTTACAATAATATCAGTAATAGTTTCTACTCATCACGTCCTATTATAGGAGGTTGTTGTAGAAACTTGTCAAATCAGTGATGGCAAATGACCCATGCAGCTTATTTATGGAATCATAATTGTTGTTTTCACCAACTGTGTCTGAAAGGGTGGGGGAAGATCAGGTTTCTTAATATTTTTAGGAATTTTTCTCAGCCTTCCCTCTGATACAGTAAGGAATGGATCTACCTATCTAGAAGGATATTCCCTCTCTGAGGTGGCTGCACAGGAGGATAATAGATAAGGTTGCTATAACTTAAGCAATTCTGGAACCACACGGCTAGGATGCTTAAGCCATGAGCCTCCTATAGAGTATGGGGTTATTTTATGTATCTATGTGTATGTATATATGTATGTATATACACACTCTCTCACACACACACATAGTGGTCCCTTGGTATCTATGAGGAATTGGTTCCAGGCCCCTTCTTGAATACCAAAATCCACAGTCGTTCAAATCTGTTGTACAAAAGGGCATAGTTCTTGCATATAACCTATGCACTCCCTCCCATATACTTTAAATCATCTATAGATTACTTTTAATACCTAACACATTGTAAATACTATGTAAGTAGTTGTTACACTGTATTGTTTAGGGAATAATGACCGAAAAGAAGTCTGTACATGTTCAGTAGAGACTCAGCCATCCAATTTTTTTCTGAATATTTTTGATCCATGGTTGGTTGAATTCACAGATGTGTAATCCATGGATATGGAGGGCTGACTGTATACATACCTGTGTGTGTGTGTGTGTGTGTGTATTTATGGAGAGACAGAGGTGCAGTCATATATAATATGTAGATATAATATGATATTTAGATATAATCATGTATACATAGATGTATCATATATAATATATAGATGTATATCATTATATGCTGTATAGAGGTGTATTACGTACCAGAATTAAGTTTATAATTGTTTATCCTTTTGAATTAGAGATCTAATTTTTAAAAACTGAGAATAAAATATGGTGCTTTATTGTTCTGTAACCCAAACCTTCCTTGGCATTAAGGGTTTTCAGTACTGCACAGGGTTGGGGGGGGTTGTTTGTTTGTTTGTTTGAGACAGGGTCTCACTCTTGCTCAGGCTGATCTTGAACTCCTGAGCTCAAGCAATCCTCCCACCTCCACCTCTCAGAATAGCTGGGATTACAGGCCCTCCCTGGGTTTAAATCCCAGTCACTACTTACTAGCTCCGTGACCTTAGACACAAGACCTAATTAACCTCCTGAACTTCAATTTCCTTGTCTGTAAAATGGCCAAAAGAATAGGCTCCTCCTTCAATGGTGGATATAAGGATCAAGTCAGATGATGTGTGTGGGAAGCTTAGCTCAGTGCGTACGAGGCCTTCAGTTAAGTCCTCCTTAACTGAATGATTATTTTATAATCATCATCATTCTGACAATAAACACAAGCGGTACCATTCTATACTATTCCAGGGCCTGTCTTGTGGAGTGAGTTAGAGACCTAAACTAACGAGTAGCTGCTATGCAGCATATATCCCCATCGATTCATGCCCACCCGTCCAGAACTGCACATCCCAGGCAGTCCCTGGCTCTCTAGCAAACTCTAGTGTGCATTTATATGGACAACAACTTCAGGTACTCAGAAGGGAGGCCAGCAGAATCCTACAGAGGACAGTTCACCATACTTGGTCATACTCTGCCAAATGTCCCTCTGGATTCTCTGAATCTACTGATACCTGGTAATGTGTCAGTAGTTCTGAATTTCTGTGGTTGGAGGAAAAAAAACAGTGCATAAAAAAACAGTGCAAAAAAATATATATCACGCTATTATATCCTGATAGAACGTTGAAATCGAGCCGGTCACGGTGGCAGGTCACTGTGGCAGCCAGGGTGCTTGCTCATCCTGTTTCGATATCGTAGAGAGCTGGGCTCTATCATGTGTCAGCAACAGTGTGGTTTTGCACCTCCCCCCACCACCTGTCACGTTGCTAGGAGATTTCTCTCCCCACCAGAGAGTATTATAAAGTGCTTGGCAAGAAGGGCCCCTAATGTCCCCATACATTTCCAGCCCAGTTGTCTGATTTATATGTCCAAATGGGCATTTAAAAATTCCAAATCAGGCTTTGTCAGGCAGCTCCACTCTTTTGTCATCTACAAATCAAACTGTTATGTTTAAAGCCATAAATACTGAATGACTTCTATGCACAGCCTCAAAGCAGGTGTCCAAGACTCATCAATATGGAATCACACAGTTGGGATATTTATAAGCAGCATAGCCTGAAAAATGTGCCCACTCCCTGCTTTCTTCGGCAGAAATTTAGCTTTTCATATAACATTTCAGGTGTGTCTCCCGAACATAAACAAGATATCAATGCAAGCAGTACTGGATTATCTCTATACCAAGCAGTTGTCACCTAACTTGGACCTGGACCCACTGGAATTAATTGCCTTGGCAAACAGATTTTGCCTGCCACACTTGGTTGCACTTGCAGGTAAGGCTGACGGCTTGGGGCCATACAGTGTCTGTCATGTTTATCAGAATCACATTTAAATAAAAATAAGATTGCCGGGGAATAAAGATTTATTTTTTTGTCAGCAGAAATAGGACTGTCTCGTGCAGGGTGATATGAGTGGATCAAATTGTATCAGACCGCCCGATTCAATTCAACAAATATTGCTTAAGCACTCCTCCTTTGTGGTAGGCCCTGCTAGGTGATGCACGTGTGAAGTTGAGCAATGCATGGCCCCTGCCCTGGAGGCACACGCCCTGTGCATGCTGAATCATTTGTGCTTCTTAGAATTTGAAATAGAACTATTCTGTCAACATTATCCCCTTAATACGTGCACAGGCACAGTGTTTAAGAAAGAAGCGTAGTCACAGTGGTTAAGAACACAGACGACAGAGCCAGATTGCCTAGGTCCAAACCCTGGCTCCACCCTTTACTGCCTGGGTGACTTTGTTCTTTTCTGAACCTTAGCTCTGTCTCAGCTTCCTCGCTCTTTAAAATATTATTGTACCATAGAGTTGTTATGAAGATTAAATGAGCTAGAATATATAAAGTCCTCAGAACAGTGTCTGGCGCATAGTAAGCATTATGTAAGTGGTTTTCTTAAAGCTATTTTAGAAAATGTTCTGACATTGTCAAGTTCATTTTGGGAGAAAGAGAGAAAAGGGAAGACTTGGCTTAACTTCACAAAATCTTTTGTATCATTTTTGGATTTGTTCAGTTGGTAAAGCTGAAAGAGGTCTAGATAAAATATATTTATTTAAACACCTTTTTCTTGAATTTAAGCCTTCAATATCATTTACCCAAGGTGTTAATTCACACTTTGGGTGTTTATCACTATATTTAGTTGATTCCTAACTATAACCATAAAAGCAGAGACAGACAGTGCCTGTTTTGTTCACTGGCCTTTCTCCTGCACACAGAGAAATGCCTGAGCATATTAGGTTCTCAATAAATAGTTGTTGAATAATTGAATGCAAATGAATGTACGAACAAACCAACCAGTCCTGTCTGTACTTGGCTTTCTGGCAATGTCTTTAGGAAAAAGACTAATTTATCTGTCCTCCATGTTCCTACTGCACACAGCCACCTGAAGATCAAAGTCCTCTCTTTACCCTACTTCTTCCTCAAAATCCCTATTAGTTTTTGTTTTTTTTTAACTTTTTAACTAATATACCTGAAGCCATAGATCCAAGTGAGTGCACTACTTTTTAAATACGAACTCTAGGAGGCTACAGTGGAAAATTACTTTTTTTCAGAAATATGAGTTCCAATCCATTTAATTATCCACAGGTTTTACAATATTTGCCCTTTCAGGATAAATTTGATTTTTTTAATCGTCAAAAGTAATGTGGAGCCAAATCTGTCAAGAAATGTTTGTGATCAATTTCAGAGTAGTACCATTTTTGCTTAAACATTAAGTCCGGCAATGAAAACATGGCATCGATTTCTCCATGAAAGTTCTTTTTTTTAATTGACCCAGATAAAGCTTCTTGTGTGAACTGCAGACTTCTATGTACATACAGTTTTGTTACTAAATGCTGTTATTACTATTATGGTTATTTAATATAAAAACAGCTTCCCAAGATGATTCCATTAATGATTTATAGTACTCGTTTCATACTGTCTAGCGTAAAGTGTTTAGAATATGATGTTTAAAAATCAGTTTCTGGGGTGACAATGCTCTGCGAGCCAGTGTTAAATGAGTGTCAAGAAATGTTACCGTTACTTAAAATTAAAAAGCCCGGGTGACTTCTCCAGGAAATTTGGTTTCTGTGTGTGTCAAGCCAGCTGATGAGAGTTGTGCCAAAGAAACCATTCAATTCCAGATACCAAACTGACCGGATATAGGCACACTGACTTACAAGCACGTGGAGCCAGACCAAAAAGGAAGCATGCTTTGGACGATATACTGGATTAGAAGAACAAATGCAATGCTAGAGATGACATCAACATCAAAGAGCTAAAAATGCTGAGCTGAGACTATACCCACACATGTCTATCCCAGAGGCAGGTGACAGCCCACACGGAGGCAAGAGACAGTTAGCTCAGCCTCAGACCACAATTTAAATTCAGCTTGGAAGCCTGGAACGCAAGCTCTCGAACAGAAATGGCTCTCCCAGCTGGATTTTTGTTACTTCTGACTGAAGGTCTCCCCAGTCTTTAGAACCCAAGAGGTTGAACAATACGTCATCCCTCTGTAGCTGTTGAGACAGACGTATGCAGTCTCATTTCTAATTCCCTAAATAGACTTATTCCTCTGTCACTCAGTCTCTCCACTGTCAGAGGTTATTGAGAATCAGAGCCATGTGAGTGGGGAAACTGTCAAACAGGAACGTGTGTAGAATCCAGAGGATTCCAGGAAGGTGGGAGACTGTCCAGAGCCACACTGTACAGGAGAACTTTCTGTATGGACGGAAACATCCTACATCTGTGTTGTCCAATACAGTGGTCATGTGTGGCCATTGAACACGTAGTGTGGGCAGCATGACTGAGGAACTGAACTTTTAGTTTGATTTAATTGCAATTAATTTAAGTTTAAATAGTCTGATGTGGCCAGTGGTTACCATCCTGGACAGGACAGTGCAGGTTGGGAGGATTCTGGCTATTTCAGAAGCACGAACAAGAGAGTCCCCAGAGATGTCGGTACAATGGCTGGCGGCCGGGACCGAGTACAAAAAGGCGGTTGCGATGGAAGCCGGATTCGATTTGCATGGATGCTCAGAGTTGTGCCCCAGATTCCCTACCTCCTTAAGTGGTTCCAGGGCAACCGCTCCAGGCAAGATATCTGGCCTGCAGGGCGTGGTTTAACATTCTCCTGCCTCCCTCTCTTCCCCAGAGCAGCACGCGGTTCAGGAGTTGACCAAGGCCGCGATGAGTGGCGTGGGCATTGACGGGGAAGTGCTCTCTTATTTGGAACTGGCCCAGGTTTGTAACAGTTTGCTTTTCACCTTTTAAGTGTGTTCAATCAGTTCATTTAATGCTGGTAAAACATTCCACTGTTGCATCTGTCTAAATAAAGATGTCACCACTGAGTCACAGAGGCCCCCTGTGCACACTAAGAAGATCTGAGAGTTTTACGTTTCATGCACTGTTCAGCCTGCTGGGCTTCATTTGCAAAAACAACAAGGACCCCTCCCCCACACCAGTCCCATTGTCTCCTAAGGCACCAGCTTCACACGTGGCAGGACCACTTGGGGCATGACAGGGGGAGGTTTTTGTCTCTCTTCCTTCTTTGAATTCTTGGACATGTATTTGGCCAAGAACAGGCAGTTTCTAGAATTCTGTGAAGGCCTGCAATGCCCCCCTGCTGGAGTTTTCAAAAGTCAGTAGTTGTTAGTCTTGAGATTGCAATTCCATCATCCCAGTGCACACTTGCACTCTTCTTCCAGAGAAAGGTCCAAGATCCAGTGTCAGCTTCATCGCTGAATAACTTCCTCCAAGCACACAGCTACCCTCGGCCTCAATTTCCTCATCCATAAAAAATAGGGAAGGCAATTCACACCCCACCAACCTTACGGATTATTTTGAGAATCAAGAGGGAGAGAATGTTTGAGAAAGAGCACCAAAGAGTGGAAGCCCTCGTATGATGCAGGGTGCACATGCAGAATTATCTAGTCCCCTGCATAGACTGATTAACAGCGAGTTTGCACTCTGAGAGAACTAAGAATAAATTCTTCAATCTTTTCTTCAGCCTGCTGGGTTTGGCTTCCTTTGTTCCCTCTCTTGGTTATTGCAGTGGCTTATGAGGTCTTGGGTCAGGCAGTTTAAATCAATATTTCTCAACCGAGAGAGAGGAGGTGGCATATCGCAGGTGTTGCTCAGGCCCTTCCAACTGTGGCCATAGGAGATGGCTGAGGCTCAAAGGAGGGAAGGTAGAATAGAACTTTACAGCAACCTATTCATTCGTACTGAACGTTCAACAAATATTTGTTATCGTCTCCCCAAGTACCCTAGGCAGAGAACTTGTACATACAAGGGTAGGTTCTCTGCCCCAGGGCAATCATAAACAGGTGAGAGAAACAGACACGAACACACATTATTAAAGTTAGAAGTGCTGAGAACAGACACGTATTGCAGTAAAACCATCAAGTCCCCATCAAAACTGGCTGTCCACACTTGGAATTTGGAGTCTTTTGAAACAGGGCCTGGGGGACAGTTTTTGACTTGTGCTTCTCCAGGAAGTACTCCTCCTAGAGAAAAATGAAATGACACAGAATTTCACATAGGGCTAGTCCACTTGAGGTAGTGATTTGCAGTTGTGTCTGTTTGTTTGCTCTGTGTTTCTGCCTTGTCCTCCCTACCCAGCCAACACACACGCCCTGCAAGAAAATAATATAATTACACTACTGCTAATCTCTGGCGACTCTGGGCAGGAAGAGTTTAGGATAGAGTCTCCCACATGTTAGCTCATTTATTAGACCCTAGCCCAGTGATGTGCTGACAAGTGTTTAACAATCAGCTTGGGGACAGGTGGGAACCTGATCTGTTGCATTTTTCAATTCTGTGGTGTAAATACTCCCACCACAGCCAGTGTAACAACATGAAGCCACTGAACTCAGAACACTGAACAGGGAAGAAATACACACCGTTGGCTCTCTGGAGGAAGTACAAGCCAACCTGACACACCACTGCCCCAGTCTGCTTTCAGAGAGAAATCTAACATCAAGAGAGGTTGTTGCCAGGCACAGTGGTTCACACCTATAATCCCAGCACTTTAGGAGGCTGAGGCGGGAGAATCACTTTGAGGCCAGGAATTTGAGACCAGCCTGAGCAACAGAGCAAGACCCTATCTCTACAAAAAAAAAATGTTCTTAAAATATTAGCTGGCCGTGGTGGCACACACCCGTAGTCCCAGCTACTCGGGAAGCTGAGGCAGAGGCAGAAGGATTGCTTGAGCCTAGGAGTTTGAGGTTGCTATGAGCTAGGCTGACGCCACAGCACTCCAGCCTGGGCAACTATTGGCCTTCACTGTAGAGATATGGGCCACAGAGGAACCATGCTGTAGGTTCCAGAGTTTCACCTGACCAAAGAAACATCCGGAGCAACAGATAACAGAAGGGAGGCCTGAGATGGGTGCAGAGAGAAAGCGTGAGGGGTCAGGAGGGTCTCCCCAGATCTGGGGAGGGAAGAGGGAGTTGACTGTTGATTTTTGAGCATCAGGCCTTTTTTGGTCACAGCTACCTCAGCCACCACCTTCCTGAGCATTGCTCAGAAAGAAAGGGTGGAGCATTTGGGTCCCTCCCACCCCACCCAGGCCGCCTACTCTTATGTAACCAAAGGACAGGTATAGGACAGTCACACAGTCTGCAGTCTCCTGTTTCCGATCTTTGGCCCCAGCAAGCCGGGCTCTGACATGCGACACGCAGTATTCCGTTGCCAAGCTTCCTTAAACAGAGATGACATCGCTGCTCTCCGCTGTTGGCTGGTGCCTTCCAGAGGCCACGGTGGCTTATCACTAGAGGGCCAGGTGATGGGGGAGGGTGGGAGGGCGAGGTAGACTTTAAACTGGTGATCTGATACCGTGATTATTTTTGGTGCACCTATCACAGTGGGGAAGGGAAGGGTGTGTCCAACAGTATGCTGGCTGTCATCAGAGCCATGGCCAAAGTCAGAACAGTGAGGTCAAAACAAAAGGTCTACTGAATTAATTACACGAGCCCTTAGTTTCTTTTCACCCCTGCAGTGGCTTCCAATCTCTTTGTAGCTGCACTTTAGAAAATTCAGTCTGACCCCCTTTTGGTCCCTTTTTCTGCAGTTTCACAATGCCCACCAGTTGGCCGCTTGGTGTTTGCACCACATCTGCACCAACTACAACAGCGTGTGTTCCAAGTTCCGCAAGGAAATCAAATCGAAATCTGCAGGTGAGACTGTGCAAAGAACAACACCTCCCCCTACCCCATCCACCCCCCATTCATCCAGTTCTCCTCCCATCTGGCTGAAGCATTTACCTTCTATGCCCTGGGAAGGAACACGGTCAGCAGACAGCTCATGGACAAGTCCTTGAGACTGGCTGGCAGTCACACATTTATGTGATACAACCCAAGGTATTGTAGGCCTGAGGATTGGGGTGGGCTGGGGCCCAGGGGACCCCACCCTGGGGTATGTTGAAGTAGCGGTGCTCCCCCTTGTCTGGGGAAGCAAGCATGGGAGCAAACTTAGACTCTGAAATCAAGTGGCCCGGGGTTCAGGGTCCCTGGGCCTAGCTGCATGACTAGAGGCAAGAGATTCTTCCTCTGAGAACTTCAGTGTCACCTTTTGCAAATGTTGCTAACCATGGTCCCTGCCACATGGAGTCGGTGAGAGGATATTTGAGAAGCATTAAGCCCAAGGCCTAGCACGTAGAAAGGATGAATGAGCAGCAGGTATTATCATCTGCATCTTTGCTTCACCAGACAACCAGGAATACTTTGAGCGGCACCGCTGGCCCCCCGTGTGGTACCTGAAGGAAGAGGACCACTACCAGCGCGTGAAAAGGGAACGAGAGAAGGAAGACATTGCACTAAAGAAACATCACTCCAGACGAAAGTGGTGCTTTTGGAATTCATCTCCGGCGGTCGCCTGAAGAGGAAGAGGGAAAAAAAAAACAAATCAGTAATCTGATACGCCACTTTTCAAAGCACTACTGTAAAATTAGTCTTCTTATTAGCGATATGATGTAGTTCAGGTTTCAGGCACTGACCTTCCTCCACTTTTGTGCATTTATCTTTGTTAGGATCAAAGCACAAGCTCACCATCAATGAGCCTGGACAAAAAGGGAAGCTGACTCACTGCATTCCTTAAACTAATATGTATATATATATTTTTTTTTGGTTAGGAGGCTTAATAAACTTTAGTCCGTTATTTTGTTTCTTTTTATACAAAGAAAAAAAAATCCAGCTTTCATGTTTCTGATTCCAAATTGGAAAATATTTTTATATGGTCTCTTGTATTTTGTTGAAATGAAAATACTATGTATTACTTTATTTTACAGGCCACAAATTGACTACGAAGTCGCCCTGTGATTTCTCTTTGCCCACATGACCACCAAGCATTATTGCATAATTAGAGGGTTATCCTTTTGTTGTGAAGTAAAGGGTGGGACTTACATCCCCCCCCAAAGCGCAAGCTGGAGAATGTTTAATCTTTGTTCTGCTGAATCACATCGGTATCATTACCAAGTCAACTCCAAGAGTGTGTATTTACAATATTCACCGTGTAAGTGCTACTAATTATATGGTTATACGTGCCATGTAAAATATAGTGATATCAAATATTCTGTTGTTTAAAATGTCTAGATTCAAGAGGATAATCTTTGTAATCATTAGAAGGGCTTATTAAATCCCAGCATTATCCAGGGCAAACCCGCTGGTGGACCTGAATACGTAAGATACCATTAGAGCATCGGTGTTTGGATTGCTGTGTTAGGGTTTATGTCTCTCAGTGTTCCTCGATCTCGCCATGCCTCTGCATGCAGATTCTCCACTGACTTGAATTGAGATGGGCAAGAGTCCCCAGACTCCGTCCCGCCATCCACAGGCTTGTCACATCTCACCACCGAAAAACAGGCTTCCTCAGGTCTCTCACCTGTGGCCAACTTCACTTTATAAGACCCACATTTTTAACTCTTCCCAGGGAAAATCCACGTCGCCGCAGAAGCAGGCAAAGGCAGACCACCCACTCCTGCTGCCTTTCAGCAGGGCCTGTGAAAGCACAGAGCTGGAGGCCGGGTCCCTGCCTTCTCCAACACAGAAAGGAATCTAATTCCAAGAGTCTAAGAAATGGTGCTATTGTGAGTTAGTTCTGACCCTTTGTCATTCTGAGTTTTCAGTGTTAAAATAGAAAGTGTAGAGCAGGGGAGCTTTCCTGAGGCAGTCAATCATTACTTGGGTATAAAGTAAAATGTTACAGCACACACACACACATACACACACACACACACACATACACACACACACACACACACACACACACAGCATTTTAAGGCCACAGCTCCACACCTGCCGTGGATGTTGTGTGGCAAGGGCTGCTGCTCATTCTGTTGGAAGGTCAACTTGCTGATGCTAAGGGCTGTTTCCTGTTCTTATTTTTTCGTTTGTTTGTTTAACTTTTCAGAGAAGATGAAAAAAAGATAGTTGAGTCCAAACTCCAACGTTGACAGCCGTATGCATTTGCAAATCTATTTAGATTACAGAGGGGCATTTAATACTGGCAGTGGAAACATACCAGATACGACAGCTTGGAGAGGCCCAGAAATGCATCACCTTCTCATGACAAAAGAGGTGGCAGTGGAGTAGAAATAGTTGTAAATGCAGCCACCTTAATGTTTTTCCAATAGGGTTGTAAATCATTAATGAAAGGAGAAAGGAGATGGAATAAGAGGATAAATGTCAAGACTCAGGAAGAATTGGCATGTATCCCATCGTAAAATAGTAGAGGTTGAGTTTTGAATGAGTAGTCATAGTTGAATTTTTTTACAACCAAAGCTCCCATTTGATTGTAATCTTGCCAAAATGTCATGGACATGTAAATGAACTTGGGGTATAAGCAATAATATCCACTAGTGTTGTTATCAGCTGCTGAAACCAAGTGGCTGGTTCATTTGGTTGATGCTGATTATGGCCTTTAACCATGGTGGTTTCTTGTGTGTTTTTTATTTCACAAAAAGCCAATAAAATTGTTTAGCTATAAAATGCCTCCAGTTTTGTTTTAAGGACTTCCATCGTATCATGCCTGAAATTTAATAGCTTTTTGATACTGGGTCACGGGGGCTTGTGTGTGTGCCAGTCACAGAGCAGTTTGAATGACATGTCATCTTGGTTTTCAGTATTGTCAGCAGATACTCCAAAGCCATAATGTAAACGAGGTGTCTGGCTCTTTGCTCTTGACTAATACTAGGCATGGTGCAGCCTTGGGAGATAGACGTCTCTATCCTAATGGACTTATTATAATGTGGGCTTGGACAATTCTGCCAGCAATTAAGTGAAAAGTCAGAGTTGGTGGGCTCATGTAGAAGTCTTTTCTTCAGAAGAAGATCTGAGAAAGACTTTATGAAAAAATTGTAAAGAATATCAGGACTTCTACATAGTCTAATGGTTACCCAAGCTCAGAGGGGAAAAAAGAGTCTTCAGATTTCATAGGGGCATTTCTGAGTGGCAAGTATTAATAGCTGCAACTCCAATGGGAAGGAATTGGCGACTATATGAAAGAGTTGTAAGAAGAAGACAATGCAATTGCCAACACATTCGCACACCGCTTAAAGGTAGGTGGTCCTATTTGTGGTACCCTTTACATAAAGCATACCAGTGGAGTCTTCTGTTGAAAGTCTTGGTCTAAGTTTCTCCTAGGGTGATGCCTGGCAAATCATCAGGGATTTCACCTCCCCTGTATTGGCATTTTGAGAATCACAAATCCTACTGGACTAGAGAGAACTCAAATATTTTCATTGTGGACACTCAAAAGAAGAAGTCCAAGTTTGTAAGATTTTTTTATCATAGGTGCTTCCATCATATGGCAGTTCTCAGTTATTGAATTGAGTCAATCTTTCGTCACTCTGACGCTAAGTAGAATGGATCCTACTAGTCACGAGGGAAAACAAAGTGAATCCTGAATTTGGAAACTGTTTTGTTAGTGCAGCATTTCTGAAATGAATGCTTATCTGAAAACTGAAGATCTGCCAGCTCTTTTCTTGAATTTGATATTTCATGAATTGACATATAGATATAGTTATATTAATATCTCTTTATGGTTGCTAGTGGACAAGTAACAAACATTTCTCTTTTCTAGAAAAATGTGATTAGTGCATAAAAGTAGAGGTAAAAGTTAACCAGGGAGAATGCATTTGCTTTGTATGTGTATATGTGTGTAAGTAATCAAAAAACAGCATAACAAAGGGAAAAAGGCTAAAGACAATTAGGAAGGAAGGAAGGAGGGAGGGAGGGATGGAGGAGGTAGGGAAAGAAGGCAGGAAGGAAAAGGTCAATGGAGCAAAGCCACAGAGTTGAATTAAGCACTCTGAGCCACGGATGTACTCTTTCTTTCAAAGTGCTAATTTATTACCACGTATCTCATGACTTAATTCATTTTCTGATGAAGACTCTGTTCTCTTGAATTTCCAGTTAGGAAGCAGGTGATGTATGCAACATGAAAGATTTATTTAGACTTAGACATGAAAATAGTATGGTGGGATCAGTGGTGACCTCCTGTGAAAAGCAATGCTTCTGTAGAAGCAATGCCATTCCCTTTGGCTGCATTTGACAATTCCCGCCCTCCACCCCATGCTGTAAATTGGATATTTTTACTTAAGCTCTTTAGATGCGCGGCTTTGTACTGGGTTAATGTGCTCGTCAGTTAGATATTTACAGATTGTAGTCTACAAGGTAAGGAAATAATTTATGAACAGATAATTCTTGGGTGGAAACCAATAAATCATGCAGTTGCACACTCATAGACATGAAAGTGTTGTAAACAGTAGCAGACACGAAGCAACTTGCCAGCGCCTCACCCACTGCTCACAGTTCCCGCAGAACAGAACAACCTTAGTGACATGGATTTCCAGCAGAACACAGATGTGATGAGTGCCACCTAAGTGTGGCCCCATAGAAGGAATATTTAAGTTCTTTGAGCCTGAATACATTCTCAATCCCAAAGACAAGAATGGTGAGATATTATAAGCAGTCAATGAGAAAAGAACTTGATTTCTTTCTTTCTGCTTAGATGCCAACAAAAATTGGGGCATTTTTTCATTCCCTCCCAATCTGATGAAAGGAGTATCCTCTGATTTGATAATTCATGGTTGTGCAGTCCCATTTGGGTTGATACACCCATGGAAGGTTAAGTTAGGCTGTTGTGTGAAAAGATATACAAACTCTCTAAGCTTTAGTCGTCTGGAAAATGGGAATGGATTTCACTGAGTTGCCAGTACAGGTGAAATGAGATCTTTTAGGTAAAGCACTTAGCATAGTATTTTTCACATACTTCAGTGCTTCAGTACATGGAAGCTAAACAGAAATCAAGGTGAACCTGTGTACTTAGCACGTTGAAAACCAAGGCAAGAAATCTGAGAGAGAAGACAACCATGCATCTTCCCAAATAGAACAATGTGGTTTTTTTCTTGCCAGTTTCTTCAATCAAATGCCAACCTTGCTGCTGAGTGCTTCATGATGGTGCTTAAAGAATTAGAAAATAAGAGCTGTGGGAAGGTAAAAATAGTAAAAGTAAAGGGCAGAGGAGGGTGACACTTTCTAAGAAGACATTTCCCCTCACTGGGCCTCTCTTGTGCTGCTGGGTAAGGTTGGGCCACCTCGAGGTGAAGCTGGGCTGAGCCTTTAGTCCACTTGGGTCACTTTCTTCTTTATTATTCCCAATTATTTTTTCCTTAGTTTTTTTTTTTTTTTTTTTTGAGGATTAGATACAGAAAATCTAGTTAGCCATGCTCCTCAGTGCTTGGCACATGGCCACCCTCGGTCAATGAAGGCCTCCCTTTTTCATCTTCTCCTTCTTCCACAATGTCCACTCCCGCCTCGTGTTCAATATATGTCTTTAAACATGTGGGCATCCCTTTATACAGAGTTGTCTCATGAGCTCACTCATTACACAAATGGTGTCAAGTAACAAATTCTATTCTGTGATCTGCTTTTCTAACTCCACGTTGCTTTGGAAATCTAACCACGTTTCAATATGTGTACCCTGTCCATGGTTTAGTGTCCTGTAGATGGCATCTGCCACATTTTCCAGTCCCATTCTATGGGCGATAGGACCACTAGTCGATCCCCACTCCTCGGCCCTGCGGTGACCCTGCCTGTACAGGCCCTGGGGGCCAGCTCCAAAAAAGAGATTCCAGCTCCCATTCCAGACGTACTGAACCAAACCTCCTGAGGTGATGGACTTGTTTTGGGACATTAAAATCCATGATGAAACTCCTTCCCTACCCCAGCACAAAGGCAATAGGATTTGACAGAATTCGAGAGTCTGAATATCTGAAAGGCTCAGAGCCAGCCCAGAGCCTGGCTGCCCTCTGACCAGCAAGAAGAGAAATTAGGTTTAGCTTCCTATCACCTGAGAGACTTAAGGAGGCTTTCCTGGTCGTGAAAGGAGTCAGCTATTAGTATGAATATTCCATCCCCTCTGGCTTTGGCATTCTGTGTCACCTGATGAAAGACAAGAGGCCAAGATGATTTGTTAAGAGCCCCCAGTTTTCTAGATTCCTAGTTTTCTGCCTCAAAAAAAAAAAAAAACTGCTGGCTTAATCTCATCATTTCACAATGTATTCAGCTATCCATGTTCTACACCATAAATATATGTCTATATGGTTTAGTTCTATACCATAAATATGCATAAATTTTATTTGTCAATTATATCTTAATAAAGCTGGAGGGTAAAATTCCCTAGGAGCTTGTGCACATGCATGGAAGGTTACCCTCTAATTTTGTTCTCTTGCATATGAAATCTAAAGAAAAAGCAACCTGCCACTACAAATTCTGTGGATTGTTCAAACTGTCTCAGAAGTCCTGGACAAATCCTCTCGTGAGCACAAAACTTTCCCTCTCTCCTAGTTTTCACCATCACCTAATTAGATGGGGGGTGTTCAGACCATGGTGATTTCTCTCTCCTATTGACTCCCCCCCTATTCACATGCTTGGACCCCACTGCCACAAAATTAGTGATTGTAATAAATGGCCAGACACTTGAAATTTTCAACTCTTAAAGAAATGGGCTTACCAATCTTAAAAAGAAAGAAAAAAAAATTGCTGTGCACTATCTTTCCAGCAAACGTGGTGCTGCATGAGGACCCGGCTCTTCTTTTGCATAACATTTGCACAGTTAGCCTGGGAGTGAGGCCTCCTGTTATAGTAAGATGCACCTTCACACTTGCTCTTTCCGTTTTATTCAAATGTTTCCTTTTTATTCCAATGTCTCCATGCCCGACTGAATGGATCCATAATGTTCCAAAGGAATCTTGGCACCACTTTCCCAGGGTCTAAAGCACAAATGTGGGAACGGTGAGTTCACGGTTTTGAGCAAATTGTTTATGGCCAAGCACAGTAAGTACTTGGCGTGCACCCCCCCCTTAGTTCCTACAACATTATCTTAAGAAGAGGATAAGGGTTCCCCAGGGCAGACTCTTGGGGGGAAGATTCACAAGCTAGTGGTTTATTTAGGAAGTGCCCTTACCCTTAGATGAGACGGAGAAGGAGGGCGGCAGGGGGACAGGGAAGGGTGGTAAGTTTCAGGAAGTCCAATTCAACCTGGTCTCAAGGGGCGCTCTGGAGGATTTTACAGGCGACCACACCATAGAGTTGCCTTTTATATTCCTGCACTGGGGGTCAAAGTGCACAGCGGAGGGGGAGGGGGATAAGGTAACCGCTGGGATTTCAGGCCTGGGAGCTGGGGAAAGTGGCCCCAGCAGCAAGGGGAAATCCTCCAATGAGAGTCGCAGATGCCTGCTCCTAAAGACAAACCAAAGAACGTGGAAGCTGGGAAGCAGCCCCCAGAAAAGTAAAAAGAATGTGAGGATAAAGGAGCACAGGCTGATCTGCCCACTAACCTCTATTTCGAAATTCTGAAAAACAACCTGGACTATTCCATAGTTGGGGGTGGGGGGGCACTGATGGAAGTTTTGTGTGCTGATGAGAAAACATGGATTAAAAAAATGCATCTTTTTTTTTTTTGCTGTTGTGTCAATAAAAACTCA